TAGTCCTTATCCGAGAAGACTTGTTCTACCACCAGAACCATAGGTGAGCGTGCCGTTCGAACCAGCGCCGATATTATGGCTATAGCTTGCGGCGCCCCTGCTAACCGCTCGGCCATTCGACTCACCAACACAAATATTGCTAAAAAATATTATCTGTGCTTTTGTCATGGTGATCAACCCCACTTTGTCTGGGTTGTAATCCCATATGGTAGATTAATTAAGCTGTCTCAACTCAAGGCTCGACCACGTTCATAACCTTTAGAGGCTTCATCACAGCTATTGTCGGTCCACTGCTGGACAAATGTTTCAGGATGTCGACGCCAAATCAATCCTTTTCTCTTACTGTGTTGCACAATTTCACTCTTCCCCAATAAATGCTCATCTCTTTATCTAGTTTATGTTGTTTTTTCCCTTGTTCGTTCTGCCATCCATGGGGTCTGTTACTGTTTGTCGTTTGGGCGTACGGTAAGAATGGCCCCGGAAAAAATGGCCCCGGTGAAAATGGCCCCAAATGACAGGTAGGTAAAAATGGCCCAATAATAAAATTCTGTATTAAAACTGATTTAAAAAAAAATCATTATATACATTTTTTTTAACTGAAATAATTTAGTTTTTAAAAAGGATATACAGTATCTCAGTTTACATTATTTAGTATAGTTTTAGGCACTTAAATTTAGTTGGCGGGGAGTAAAAACCAAGTGTGCAATTAAATAAGTTGCTTAATTAAATGTTGGCCTATTCTTAATTATTCAGTTTACATTAAAAACAATATTTGAACAAATACTTCTTTGAAGTAACTCTAAGCAGAACATTTATTTGTGAGAAAAAGAAAAGTTTGTGAGAAAGTAAGCCTCTCCCTTTTCCCATACATTTGATCCACATGCTTTAACTACTGTTTATTTGCACTGCTTATAACATGTAAAGTTATTTCATTTGATACTTAACAAAAGTGAATTTTGTGGTTATCTATGAGTTGCATATTTTGGTAGTTGAAGTACTAGATGTATGTCATCCCTCTACTTTGTTAGTGGAATAACATTTTTAAAACTTATTTCTACTATCAAAAAATGTTATTCAATGGCCATTGCTTTCCGATAATCTCTCAGTACATTATTTGCATCTGTTGTGTAACTGTATTTGTTATTGATTCAATTCTTGCTTTTTACAGCTAGTATTTAAATATTTGAAGATTTAAAAAAAAAATATTTCTATTACTGAATTTTTTCATTGGGGCCATTTTTACCTACTTGTCATTTGGGGCCATTTTTACGGGGCAATTTTTTTCCGGGGCCATTTTTTCCTGGGCCATTTTTCCGGGGCCATTTTTACCTACATTTGTTGTTTGTACTCCTGCTGCCTACAAGTTCAATGAAAACCACTAAGCCAAACCACAATTTTATTATTATTGTAATTAATATTAATAATAATATTAATTTTAATATTATTTTATTTATTTGTATTCATTCCCCTCCTCCACTATAGCTTGGCTAGGCCTTTCTACTACTGTCGCCAGTGTGTGGCTACTTTATATGGGTCGATAAAACCTGAGTACGATATCTTGATAATAGTTAGCCTAATCCTAACCCTCTTCAGTGTAAGGCACATATTTTTAAATGCAGAATACCCTGGCTCTACTACTTGGTTAGTAGTAGTAGTAGGCCTGGGCCCTAGGTTGTGTCATCAGTTTCTATGGTTATTTTTTATGAAATTGTCAATGCATAGGTCTATGTACGTAGGTAGATGATAGAGACTAATATACTTTTTTTGCGATAATTTAATTACAATTCCCCTGACGAACACTGATGAACTGCCGTAAAGATAGCCAAAATACAGGCTTTCGACCTACTCGAGTTCTCATTATATTCATACCCTCTTTGCAGCCGCTGGTTCCTATGACGATTATTTTCTTGGTAATCATCCTCTTAACAGCCGCTATTTGGTTACTGAGACATCTTTTTGGAAACTGCTGCGCATGGTCGACATGGCTTGATAACGTCACTTATTTCCAAGCGCATGCTCACTGTGTTTCATAGACGTTATTTGGTAACTGCGCATGCGCATTGCTTAGTTCGGAATTCCCATTTCTTCGTAGTTAAAGCTTGCGCTACCAACAGTTTCTTAATAACTACTTCCTCTTGATTGTTACAGCCTGGCCAAATTACACCCCTGGCCAAGTTCCTTATACACATCTAGATGTGTATAAGAGACAGCCGGATGTATTCTCATTAAGTAACTATCCTTGCTCCCCACGTCATTAGTTGCACGACAGATGTAATCCCCAGTATCATTCCTTGTTGCTTTGCTGATGGTATGATTTAATATAGTGCCAGTCTTATTATGTATCAGCTGTTGACCCTTAAAAAGAGTTAGTATTGGATCAGGATAAGCAGCACCACTGTAGCACAAAATATCCAACAAATCACCCTCTACAACGTTTTTCGGTGAGACGATTACTGGCATGTCCAAATCTAAAATGAAAGTATGGTTGTAACTTTACAAAGCTAATGTTCAGATGAAACCAAAAAGTAAATAACCACAAAAACCACGTACTGTATTAGTAGTACTGTTTAAACAAATTAAGGTGGTCAATGGAATACTAATGAAAAAGTTTGAAACATAGTTGGTTACAAAAAAAAAAACAATAATGTTTTGATGATAACAGTAATGTAAAGTACTGTACACACATTTTAAACAGAATGAAAAAGAAAGAATACGTAAAAGAAAAGAAGAGAAAACAGAGAAAAGAAAGAAAAGAAATAGAAATAGAAAAGGAAAATATAAGAAATGAAAAGAATAGTATCAAAATAAAATACTGTATAAGAATGGAAAATAAAAGTAGTGGTGGACTACAGTATTGTAAAATTTCTGATCGACTATTCATTTATTTAGTTTTTAGGGTGGCTTACACAATTAAAATTTGGGTGATTATAGTATGGTTGATAGAATATGGGCGATTATATATTTTACCATTTTTTTGTGAATTAAAATTACAAGTTTTTTTGGAAGTGTTGGTCTGTAACACAGATTATTCCAAAGCGTTTGACTGTCTTTCTCATAAACAATTGGTTTTTAAAATAAAAAAATTTGGCAGTACTGGTCCCCTACTTAATTTACTTTCAGACTATTTGTTTAATCGCAGTCAACGTGTTGTTACTGATGGTTCTTGTTTCAGATTGGGAATGTGTTTCCTCCGGGGTGCCCCAAGGATCCATTATTGGACCCCTTCTATTTATATTATTTGTTAATGATCTTCCCTTTTTTCTTGAACACTCCCAATGCCTTATGTACGCAGATGACTTGAAACTGTACCGGACTATAGGCATAGGGGCGGACGCTGTGGATCTTCAGAATGATTTCGAATCGGTTATTAAATGGAGCAAGTTTTGGGGCTTGTCTCTGAACGTCTCCAAATGCAAGTCAATGACTGTTTCTCTTAAAAAGAAACCCATCTCTTTTCCCTACAATGTACATGGAGTTAACCTTGGAGAAAGTTGGTCATTACAAGGACTTAGGGGTAATTGTTGACTCTAAGTTAAATTTCTGTAAGCACATTGACCACATTGGCTTCATCTGGAGAAATTGCAGGGAAATAAATAGCCCACGCGCCATGGTTAATTTATATAAAACGTTAGTTATGCCTATTTTTGAATACTGTAGTGTGATTTTTTGTTCTGCATCTACAGTACATCCCAGTTGGCTCGAATCGATAAAATGCACTCAAAATTCTGTTGGTTTTTTATGAAACGTTTTAACTATCCTTGCCCTCTTGTTACTCCTAATTGTAGATTTTTATTGCATGACATGATGCTTTTTTACAAATGTTTAAATTCCACTCTCAATTGTAATTTTATTAATTACTTTAGTCTCAGAGCATGTACTAAACGTCTGCGTAATCATCCAATTTTTGCTGTACCTTTTAATCGAGTTAACAAACGATAATTGGATTCTAGGGGGACATGTACCAAAAATGCTAATATCTCTTTAGATAGAGGAAATTAAAAAGTCCCTAACATTTTTATCTGAATTAGGAATTTGAATACATATATTTTGAGCTCTGTTTAAAAAAAATGCCTGGATCTCCCTGGGTGAGGAGTACAGAACCTTCACCAGTGAGGACATGACAGTAGGAACATAATAACCATTAAAATTCAGGACAATAAACTGCTTTTTAGATGTGTAGATTTGTTATTTATAGCCCACAACAATGAAAAGATAGTGAAAAAAGGCGAAGAAAAAGAAATGAAAAGAATGAGAAGATGTAATGATTTACTTACATAAAACAGTGAGATTAACTGTTTTTTTTATGAAAAGCTGATCACGTAAAATCTGCAATTCACATTCATAACATCCAGAATCTTCACGCATTGTCGAATTAATCCTGAGCTTCCCAGTAAGTAAGTCTATCCTTGCTTTGAACCTATCTTCAACATTACTACTTCCATTATGGTATGTACCTATGTAAGTTAACTCGCCATTGGTTTCAAATTTTGAAAATCTCAAAATAGGTGGTTCGGTTGAGTTTATATATCTATAGTTGAAGTATAATTCAGCTACACCAGCCTCATGAACTATAATAGGTTGTTCAACCCCTTCCACAGCTAATAAACAACATAAACATAGTACTGACATAAAATGAAACAAAATTAGTCACTTTTTTTAAAATCAAAAAAATAATACTGTCATAGCAATTTAATAGCAAGATACTGTACATAAAACTGTTCCAGGTTTTAATGTTATTCATCACTGCAAGCAAGATTTTGACAGCCACTGTATAATATGTCCACTGAGGTCACTGATGGCAAAGTGTCTATAACATGTCGATAGTTAGCAACACAAGTAACAAGTAACTCATGTCATGAGTCCATAGGCGGCGGCACGGTTTGAGCATTGCATAAAGTGGAGAAGCAACCAGACCTGGAAGACTTCAAGGTCCACCAGTCAATTAGAATTTCTACTTTATGGAATATTAATTTGAGTGACTTTCTATATTGTAATCTCCCATAATACTGTACAGTACCTGTACCTTTTGACATCTGGTTTTGTCATTTACTGAAAAGTTATTGGTGGGGTCTACTGGATGGTTGGCCTACACAATAAAAAGGACTACAGTGTAGCAGGCCCACTCTGTGCCGTCGCCTGTGCTTGAGTTACTGTAATTTTAATCTATATGAAATATTTTGGTATTAATAAACTGTAGGAAGCCACTGGCAGAGTTCGAAAGAAGTGACATCATGTTGTATGTTCAATGTACTTTGTACAGTATGCTAATTGTCATAAATTGGTTATTGTTACTTCTTTTTTAATTCAATTGTAGTTTTCATCCATACCTTTTATCATTTTTAGTACCTTTGCTTATTTCAAATTTATTGTGTTTTTATAATTTTGAAATTGTAATTTTTGAATATTGTAACCTTTTGTAAATTTTATTCTCATTCAAATTTTTACTCATGTACTGTATTTTATATGTGTGTATATACACATATATTTTTATATTCTTTTTGCTTTGGCGTTTTAATATACTGTACAAATCAATGCAATTCTCTTTCTTAAGGAAGCTGCAAATGTGATTCTTAATAAACTTGAACTTGTTGACAATGCCTTGGATTTTTTTTTCCATCTCACACCATTACACTTTACTTTTTCTTTTCTATTTATGTAAGCACATAGAACTCTGTCATTATGCGCTATATAATCAAAATGTAACATGAATATTGTTATTATTATTATTCAAAGTATAGTCAAATTAAAATGGATAAACTTAGTCTGGGTACAGGAATATTAAAAAAACTGTGACAGCCCAATACTTTACTATGTAACCCTGAGGAGAATTACACCATAAACACAATCCTCTACTCTTTTTTAAAATTTTTTAACTCTTTACTTGGCTACTCTTGTAAAACCTATAAACAAATAGATATCTCAATTCATTCGTACCACTATCCACTAGAATTCTTATCAATATATCTGTATAAAATAAGTTTTAGGGCCTAATTATATTGTTGTTGTTTGTATTAATCCTGCACTTTGTTTTGCGATGTAATGTACTGTACCAACTGATTTTCCGAAAGGACACAAATAAAGAACCTTGAATCTTGAATATCACACAAAAGGACAAAAAAATCTAATGTTGCTCTATTCAGAAGGAACATTGGTGTAACTTTACCCTTGACAAATTACGACCTATTAAACATTAATTTTTGCTAAGATTGCAGGATTTATTACCAAGTTATTGCTTGATGATATTAGGTCAAACCTTGATGTGAACCAATTTGGTAGTTTAAAGGGTTATTCAACTGTGACAGAAGAATTTTCAGGAGGGCGTGCGCCACGGCCACCTGGAATGCCACTGCATACAATTGCTTGCAGCATCAAAGCTATTCTCACTTGGATCTAATATCAGCATGGGTTTCATTAATCATTAATTTCATCTCAAGCAGGTCTCAGAAAGTTTGTTACTGCTCCATACTTTCTGACAATGTTCACCTATGTATTAATGTGTGCTGTTTCACACCGACAAAATTGGGCCTACAGTATCATTATCATTCCTGGATTTAAATAATGACTGTATTACAATAAACGGATTCGGCGATGTTTGTTTAGAGGTGGTATTGTGATATAACTTGGGTATATACTGTACATGAAAAACATTGTAGTGCGATAGTATAGGAAAAGATAATGTTACTGTATTGTTGCGAAAACAAACACCCACTGTTAACGTGATAAATTTATAGCTAGGAAAGGCAATACTTATTTACTTATCCTAGCATTCTCCCAGGACTGTATGCTTGGAAATTTAAGTGATCCTACATAAAACTTAACTGGCCCTAACATCACAGCGTAGTTCGCAGGTAGAAGACCATCATGCAAACTGTACTTCACCATATCTTGGAAGTCCAGGGGGCCTATTCTTAACATTTGTTGAAAAGTTTGCAGCCAGTATCCTTTACAGCATTAGCAAACCATTAAGGCAAAATTCTCAATTTTAATTTCCAATCAATTTGGTATATAATTTACTGGGAATTATGATGATCTTTTCAGCAATAAAAAGAGATGGCTGCAATAGCAATCTCCATGTAAAACACCGCTGTGCCAATCGATTATTTATATCCACACCCAAGTCAGGTCACGTGATGCCCATTGCCGAATCCCTCCATTTGTTTTTGTGTAAAAAGTTTGAAAATATGTTGATGACATGAGTCTGAGTGAAATTTACTCTGGAAAAGTCAAGGAGCCTCAGGCTCCCAAACAAATACAGGTATACAGATTCTGTTCTTTTGAGCGAGAGACTCATTTGCTCCTCTCAAGCTAAAAGAATTTTTGAGTACAGCAAGAAACTTATGACTTTCAATGGGGGCTATACCACCACAATCAGAATCCAAGGGTAGTGAAGAACTGATGACAACAAACAAAAATAGGGAATAAAGCCCAGTAAAGGATTAAGGACGAGGCAAAGGCTATTTCATCTAATATTACTGTAACTCATTGGTAATGAAGTCAACATTAAATAAATGAACTATACATACCAATAAATACCATTACCATCAGCATAGGCATCATATTAAAATCTCTCTGCATCATCTAAACATAGACAAAAATGAAGAGAGCTTATTTAAATTCAAATTTACAAAATAAAATTAGAAAAACATCATAACTTACTGCATTTCACAACCAGCATTAAGAATGTGATCACCTAATGTGATGTTCAGTTTCATATCTTGTGGAAAAGCAAATAAAAAAGTTTCACTTCTGAAGCCTTTCTGTTCATTTTTGGCTGGGAAACCCATATTTAAAAAAATAGTTAACCCAACCCAGTTAGAGATAACAACTGGCTCTAACTATATACTGTACTGTTCAATGAGTAAACTTGCTATTGAGGCAAGTGTCTTCTAAATTTAATATAGTATCTTCATCGGAAATTCTAGTATCTTACTTGCTTTATAAGTTGCGATATTGTAATGTAAATTCATTAAATTAATAAATTCATTGGAAAAGTACGTATTTTAGTATCTCTGCTTTATAATTCTTTCTAGTAATAGACTGCAGTATTTTAATGTAAAGTATTAACATTATTAATAATAACTTCTTTGGAAACTAGTATCTTACTTGCTTTATAATTCTTTATTGATAGAACACGGCATTGTATGTATAAAGTATCTATAGGCATAGGCCTAGGCATCCATGGTGCTAGTTTTCTAATTCTAGTACCTCGACCACCAAGCTAATTTTGTGCTAGGCCTAGGGCCTAGCCTAGTTTTTTAGATCTATCCAATGAATAATCACTTCTTTTTTTATACTGTACACTAGGCCTAGGCCTACACGCATGTCCTTTTCTTTTATTACTGGGAATAATTCAGTGGCAGATCCGGGGGGTGGGGGGTTCAAGGTGTTTGGACGAACCCCCTCTCTGTAAAGAAACAACAAAATACTACTACTGGTCCTGGCTGCATCATTTTTTTTCCCATACATAGTTCAGACAGAAATTATAGAGGGCACTATTTAAGGTCATTTACTGTAGGTGAACTGATAACATGAATAATGCATGCTGCACAGTGTGATCACTGCTTGGGTATTTTGAATTGGTCTTGGGTTCTTGGGTATTCTGTTCAAATTCTTAGGTATTTTAATTTTACTAAGAAAATTAAATATTTTTGTCATAGAGGAAGAATTAAGAAGTAACAAGTATATTTCAGTCCATTCAAGTAAGCAAAACTCAACGAAGTGCACATAACATTGTTAATTGACTGTTAATTGCTATAAACATGGGTTCAGAATTGGGTGTCCCAAAAGCTCAGACCACGAAAGGTAAGACCTAAGACCACAAGATATCAGACCCACTCGAAATATCAGACCGGGCCCCGCAAATTAAGACCCTCAACTAAGTATGCCAGGATTTCTAGACTATAATACCTTTTCGAAAGCTAATGTCAATATACAGAACTGACTAATCATAAAATAAACACCATTAAGTATCATTGATACCAGCTAGGCCCCTATTTGCGACGTTTACTGGAGAAAACAAATACAGTACAACCGGCTATTCGCACTCCTCGGAACCGTACGGTAAGGTTTTGGTACGTTTTCGATAGCGGTTTCTAATGCAATGTTTAATGTTTATCGTGAGATAAAGCAAATATATTATTGTATTCATAAGGCCAAAAAAAAAACCACTCATTGCATATTATTATATCATCATCATCATTATTATTATTAAAGAGTTCATTGCAGTATCAAATGGTGTTATCTTTCTTTTTACAGAAACAACACAAATGTTACAAGTTGATTTGTTTGGATACACATTTCTTTTTATCGTTTCCATTCGATATATATTTGGATCATGTTTATAAATGCTTCAATAAAATTTTGAAATAAGTAGGCTTATAGTTAATTTAGAGGATTAGTTTGTCATAAGAGTTTTTTGTTTGTTTGTTGCGTCTCCATACATTATCAAATGTTCTATTTATAACAATACATATATAAAATAAATTGAAATATACTGAATGATGTGATAATGAAAATAAAGCAAATATATTATTGTATTCATAAGGCCAAAAAAAAACCACTCATTGCATAGAAATTAAATAAAGAAATTAGTAACTACAGTATAATTTGAGGAAAGAAGTGTTTTCAACAATTATGTTAAGGTGAAGCAGACATTGTATCTTCTTGTTTGTTTTATTTCCATTGTCGATACACATTTTGATTAGGCATGTTTATAAAATACACAAATAAATGGAAATAGTACAATAGTTGAAATAAAATTTATAGACCTACAATGTTAATGGCTGTTTCAGACTTCCTTTGATATTAAGTAAGCGGGAAATTTCACTCACAATCCCTACTGTTGCATGGAAACTAACTATAAAAATCGGAAAGAAACGCCCACAAACAGGTTCCCACGGTACTCTTTAGGGTGAAGTAGACATTCTTTGTACGCCGCCTTCAGGAATGTGTGGGCGCACTACTGCCAAGAGTGAGGTACAAGGTCAGTGATAAAATCAGACTGGCTATTTTTAGGTGCAAACACATGCCCTGGCAGTGAATGTGTACGCGTGTGTTTACCTCTTGTCTATGGTTCCGATTAAAAAACAAAATTTATTCAACTTTGTTTAAGCTTTAATATTTCATTTACCGTATATGGACAGGGCACCTGCCGGCAGGAGTGGATCCAGAGACGTCCGACAGAGGAACCGAAAATGGGGCCGATCGAAATAACACCGCCCTAAGGGAAGGTCCGCGAGAAATATTTGTTTTCAGATGCTCGAATGTAACCTCTGAGGCGTTTTGGGCGATCAATTTTTTCCCCGTTTTTAACTTCCTAAAAGGGTGATGGGGCTGAGGACGCCCCCAGCGCTGCGTAGCTCGATCTCCCGCGCCCCCCCCACCCTTTTGACATACGTGAAAACAAACATATGAAATTCAGATATATTTCATTTAACAATTAAAATACCGCAACAAAACACAAAAGCCTTTATTAAGGATCATTTATAAATTTATAATATAATTGTACTGTCTTATACTTGACTTTTCACTACTGGGAACTGCAAGAAAAAAGAACATTGTTTTTGGATAACCACATACTGTAAAATTATCTCAAACTAATTAAAATTTCTGAAACAATAATACTGTAATTGCAAAACTTAAATAATAATAATACTGAAAAATACAAAAAAGAAAAAGTAATATGTATAGTCAAGGATCGTAAAAAAAAGACAAAATATATTATACTAAAACACACAAAAAAAAAAAGCTCTTTAAAATACAGAACCCAAATAAACCAGAGTGCGTACTTGGCGCTCCATACTGCTCTGTTAATTGCAATCGAAATGCTTACAGTACTTACAAACAATAGGGTGCGATCACTTCTGACCGAATCGACCCAGGCCGAATCGACCCGGAACCCTATATGTATACTAGTATAGGCCTAAGAATGAGATAACAACCACCTGACCTTTTTTAAGAGAGGGAAAACCTCGAATTTTGAAGAAATGAAAGGTCATTAAAAGACACCTCAGAAGTCGGGAAAGCTCATTTCCGCCCATCTACGAATCAAAATTTTCCTGCCCGGGGGAAGGCCACACGACCCTCCTTTCATTTTCGGATTTCAATCAATATTCCCCCCCCCCCCCCCCTCTTTCAAATCCTGGATCCGCCCCTGTATTTTACATAAAAAATTAATAATTAAAATTACAAATGTCAACACATGTAATCGTTATAATTAACTAATAATAGTGGCAGTGCAATACGACGTTCACCTAATAGCGAACAGGCTGCCCGCTTAGGCCTAACAATGTTAGCTAAATTAAAAACCTCCCGGTGTTTGGCAAGCCCTCGCCGCCTAGCACAGCCCAAAGCTTATCAGATGTAGCCTTGTTTGTAGGCCTAGGCCTACGCCGACGTAAATTTTATTGGCCATTCGCACTAAAATTGTAGGTTTCGAAAAATAATCAACTAATCATAAAGAAGAAATAGGGCCTATATATTTACCATGTGGAACTTCCTTTTCGACAACATTTCAATAATGTAGAAAAAAGCCAAGCTAGGCCTACGTACCGTAAAAATAAAACAGGGATTTCGACTTTCAGAGGAAACGGAAAATCATTGTGTGTGTGAAAATCTTGGTAGTGGCTATCGGCACTGCCGCAGTGCCGATTTGGCACTGCCGCAGGATAGAGATCCTGCTGCAGACCGGCAGCGAGACGTAAGTCAGCCACGCTTTGCAAAGCAGCCAGGCTTTGCAAAACAGTGACGTAGCTTGGCTCTTCCATTTTTAGAATAGGGAAACTTTTTTTGAAGGTAGTATCGCGTCATTTTACGACAAACCATAAAAATCTGCGTCAATGTAGGTAAATTTGCGTCAACATACGTAAATTCCCGCGAACCTAACGTCAATACTAAAAAAAAATCTGACTGTTTACGTACATTTGAACTAGGTAAGTGACTTAACAAATGCTTTAATTGGAAATGGAAACATAACACTTAACAATGGCTGATCTTTTTTTACGCAAGGCTTAGGCTAGAACTTGGCCTCTAGGCTAGGCCTAGACTCCTAACTAGCTAGGCCTAGGCCCTAATAACTAGCTAGGCCTAGCGGCTAGCCTAGTAGAGGTAGACTCGGGCCTAGGAGCTAGGCCTAGGCTAGCCATAGGCTAATAGGCCTAGCCTAGGGTACTACTACTAGGCTAAACCAAGGCCTAGTAGTATAAGATATATGTAAGATATATTTATTTATTCGTCCAATTTGTAACACTCTGAAAATTGCTTTCCTTTTTGGCCTAGAAAACAGTAAAGACACAAAAATACAGAGCACAGACAAACACACACAAAAAAAATAATACCTAATAAAACTACACACAAAAAAGAAGTTCAAAATAAACACAATTACTGGTAAATTACCTGCTTAATAAAATTAGAAATAATATATAATAATATAATAATATCTAAATAAATATAATAATACCTAAATATTTGTATTCGTCAACTTGTTTAATAGTTTCATTTTTAAATTTTAGTAATTCAAAACATTCTGCCCTTTGCGAAAATCAATTACCATCTCTTAGTCTTTTTCATGTTAATAATTAGATAGTGCTCATCGCACCACCGGACAAAATTATCTAATTCATTTTTTTTCATTCAATCATTGGTACCGTATACAGGCAGAAAAGTATGGGGGACAACACACACCCTTGTGGTGCTCCTGTACTATTAGAGTAGACTTGATATATATTATTATTTTTAAAATATACATTATCCTTAATACTTTAGAAATAAATAGAAAGGCTTGGATGTAGCAGGTGAAAATGGCAATGAACCAAAATGGCAATGACAAGTACCAGAACAGCATATGACCATTGCAAAGGAGAGAAATCAATGCCAAGGCTAGCAAGCGCCACAGGACGTGGGCCCCAGTTTAAAAATTTCTGAATTGTTTTGAAATTGTCTCGATAGGCAAATTGAATATTGCCATGAGGCCTTTTTCCCACTTTTAATGTTTATTATTAATATTATTTCGCATTTTTTTACTTTTATGACATAAATTGTTTAGCCTAATTTTATTTGTATTTTGAAAATTTTATTTGTTTAAATGTTTTAGGTCTACTGCTTTTATATTTTTTCCCCCCAATCTTTTTAATATTCAATTATTATTATTATTATTACTATTATTGCTGCGAAGCAGCCAATTCATATTCTTGACAGCAATTTGACCTCTGAAAGGTCATTGTTTGTCAAAAAACAAGGGCCTAAGACAACTGAAAAGCGGAGTTTCCTTCTTTCGTACTGCCGGGTAAAATCAATTACTTTAGGCGACGTTTGTAGACTAACCTACACGTACCAACGTCCGCATGTCGCAACGCTCGAATATTACTATTCAGCGTTTTTACTATATTTCTAGGTTTCCTATTTCTACGTTCGGCCCATGTCTCAGCCACAATATTTTGAGACCAATATTATTTACGAACCCAGTTAAACTTTGGCAACACTCTTTGGCTGTCAACTCCCCTTAGAAACTTGCCCCATAAAAAATGTGCACATCCTAGACCATGCAGTCTTGAAAATGAAAATTGTAACCTTTGGTAATCAACTACATTTTCCACATACATAGAAATTTTTGAAACTTTATTAAAAAAAACCTAAACCATAATTCACTACTATAGACACTTTTTGACAAAAATGAAAAATTACCACTTTGCTACCCAATGAGAAGTGTTCTAATATAGACAATGGGTCGTGCCTCATATTATTTGTTATATTTTTATTATTCATTATTTTCACTTGACTCGTATAAATAATTTTGTTCGAAGAACATTTATATGCAGTTGTACTTCGCAGCACTTCACTTGCAATTTGCAATTTCTAGTTATTATTATTATTAATGATTTATTGTTATTGATATTCTTGCTGCTGCTGCTACTGTATTTAGACTCGTTTTTACCATATTTAAT